AAAAAACAGTTAATACAACATGTAACACAGGTAGAGAAGGAAAAAACCTAAAACGATCTATGATAGTTATCTCTGGCAGAAGATGAAAAGGGACTGTAAAAAAATAATACGTATTTTTTATATGCACAAAAGATTCCTTGAAAAACAGAAAGTGACCTTTATGAAAAGAATAAATCACTAGAATATACTCAAAATAAACGAATATGTGTTGTGACTGTTACCTGAAAAGAATAAATCACTAGAATATACTCAAAATAAACGAATATGTGTTGTGACTGTTATCTGCATTAAAGTCTACCTCTGACTTTAAAAGGTTGCAATCTGGTTGAGAAAACATGACACAGTTGTGAATCAATTAAACAACGAAAAGATCCAATCAGGAAACATGTGGCAAGATCAATAAATCTTTTAGGAATTGAGAAGGCCCAGTGGGAGCCTGAGTGGTCAAGCACAGCCTTAAAGAAGAGGATGTAAACTCCATCCAGGCAGGAGGCCTCTGATGTGGTACTTGCCAACGTAAAGGGGTGGCCCAGCTCAGAGCCGACTCATATAGGTATTTGCTGAGTGAGTGATTAATAGAGAGAGAATCTGGCTTTGAAGGACAAGTTTCAGGAGCCAGTGAGAAAGTTAACTACAGCCAGAGCAAAGGAAAATAGGCTCAGGCAATTCTCGGTTATTAACTGTGGTTCTGTACACTGTGAATGAGGCTTTCAGCTTTTCTAATGAGCAGAGTGAAAGTGTGTGGAAGATGAAATTTCTCTTGGAAGAGAAATTAAGCCATACTGTGCGAGGCCATGTTAGCATGACCAGTGGTAGGAAGATGCTGCTGTAATTTGGCGTGAGTTTAGAAAGGCCTGGCCCGGAATATAACCAGGAAACGGAAAGAGCAGGAACAAGAGGTGGGGAAAACTTCAAATAGAATCTGAGCCCCGAACAGATGTAATGATCTGGCCTACTAAAACTGCCTTCAGAGGCCAATACAAAAACAAAACTTAGGAACTTTTTAGGCTTAAATTAGGTGAATCATTAATTTCATTACATAATTGTATGCATTCTTTTAGATCCTGGTGTTTTTTTTTGGGGGGGGTGGGTTTTTTGGTTTTTGAAACAGAGTCTTGCTCTGTCACCCAGGCTTGAGGGCAGTGGCATCATCTCACAGCAACCTCAAACTCTTGGGCTCAAATGATCCTCTAGACTTGACCTCCCAAGTAGTTAATAGCCAAGACTATAGTCCTGTGCCACCATACCCAGCTAGTTTATCTATTGTTGGCAGAAATAGGATGGGCTGGTCTCTAACTCCTGGCCTCAGGTGATCTTCCAAGGCCAGTCTTAAACTCCTGGCCTCAAGTAATCAAGTAATCTTTCCACCTCCGCCTCCCATTGTGCTAGGATTATAGAAAGGTAAGAGCCACTGGGACCTGTCTCTAATCCTGTTTTGAGTTGGGGATTTAAGAACAAAACAAAATAACAAAAAAACTACCAAGAATTTAGATAGAAGCTTTTTACAACAATAAAGGAAGAGATAGTTTAAATAGAATACCCTAAGCAAACTCAAATTAAACCCATTTTAAAAAGCATTGCAAAGCAGTAGAACAGTTGTTTGAATAGTAGTGGCAGGACCGCAGTATCTGGGAATTTACACTTATCTTTCTCTAGAAGGATTCCAAAAGAAGCCACCTTATCTAATTATCTACATATTTCTCAATCTTCCCAGCCCAAGGAACCAAGATGGGCATAAATCTAGTTACACAAATCAGGCACGAATCCTGCCCTTTCCCTGCCTGAAACTCATTACTAAATCAAGTTGTTAGGAGTGTCTCAAGGTACCACTCCTCCTTTCTGCTTCTGCATATTCTGTACATTTGGAATTCCTCCAAATTCTAAAAGGGAAATAAAGGTACTTCCCTTATAAGGTTGTTGGGAAGATTAAATCATTTGAGTTTGTTTATCCAAAGATGCAGACCCACGTAATTAAACTGTTTGAAAAAATGTAAATTGGGCTCTGTGCCCATAGCACAGTGATTAAGGTGCCAGCCACAGGCAACAAGGCTGGCAGGTTCAAGCTCAGCCTGGGCCAGCTAAACAATGACAACTGCAACAAGAAAACAGCCAGGTGTCGTGGTGGGCGTCTTTTGTCATCCCAGCTACTTGGGAGGCTGAGGCAAGAGAATCCCTTGGGGGTAGTGCCTGTGGCTCAGTGAGTAGGGCACTGGCCCAACATACCAAGGGTGGCAGGTTCAAACCTGGCCCTGACCAAACTGCAACAACCAAAAAAAAAAAAAAAATAGCCAGGCATTGTGGTGGGCGCCTGTAGTCCCAGCTACTCAGGAGGCTGAGGCAAGAGAATTGCTTAAGCCCTAGAGTTTGAGGTTGCTGTGAGCTATGATGCCACAGTACTCTACCGAGGGTGACAAAGTGAGACTATGTCTCAAAACAAAAACCAAACACCTCCCCCCATAACTCCACACCCACATGGCATTGGTATTATAAAAGAAAAGAAATCTTTCTTTTTTTTTTTTTGAGAGAGAGTTTTACTTTCTCACCCTTCGTAGAGTGCTCTGGTGTCATAGCTCACAGAAAACTCTAACTCTTGGGCTCAAGCAATTCTCTTGCCTCAGCCTCCTGATTAACTGGGATTACAGTAGCTGAGATTACAGGTGTCTACCACAATGCCCAGCTATTTTTAGAGATGAGGTCTCACTCTTGCTCAGGCTGGTCTCAAACTCCTAAGCTCAAAAAATCCACCTGCCTTGGTCTCCCAGAATGCTAGGATTACAGGCGTGAGCCATGTGTCTGGGGAAATCTTTCTTAAAGAGAATTTTTACAACTTGCCACTTCACCATTTCTCAATTGAAAACAAACTCAGCATAAAACCCAAGTTAAAAGCGTGTAGCTTTTTTACTGCATAGTTCAGTCTTAGAATGGATTTAAAAAGGTAAGTTAATTTTAACACTAAAATTTCAGATTCTTGCTCCATCCTTCTCACATTTGAGACCATAGTTATCTTTAGCCACTAAAAACAGTACTCCATTTGACAGCTATGGAAATAGCCTGGGCCATTCAATAGGTGGTTTATGACAGAGCTTGGAATTTATCTCACAAAACATAACATGCCTATCAGTATTTCCTTTTGTCTCGTGTATTCTAAGTCTCTGCCAAAAGCAGAGGGGACAAAAGTACAGATGGACAGGATATCCTCAAATCATTTGGTTTGCTTCATGTCTTTCCAGAAAGAAATCCAGTGCCTGAGTCTCAGTGAGAAATTCAAGTTAAGTCCTTGACCCACCTATGGTAGCTGGGTCCTGGGGTGGATGGAAAGGAGGACTTTCCTCCTCAGGAGTCACCAGGTAAGCTTGGAAGGCCTGAAGCCTCTGCCCAAAGGAAAATGTGGAAATCCTGGTTTTCCAGGAGTCATCTATTACCTCCGATATAACTCTTGGCTTAGTAGAAAAATGATTAAGTAAAGGAGAAAAACCATGTACATTATTTCTTTCTTCTTCTTTTTTTTTTTTCTGAGACAGCGTCTCACTTTGTTGCCCTCAATAGAGTGTCATAGCATCATAGTTCATGGAAACCTCAAACCCTTGTGCTCAAGCAATTCTCTTGCCTCAGCCTCCTGAGTAGCTGGGACTACAGGTGCCTGCCACGATGCCCGGCTAGGGTTCAAACCCATGTAGCCAGCACCCTAACGACTGAGCTAAGGGCACCTCATGAACACTATTTCTTAAGGACAGTTATACGAACCTGGAATCTCAACGTCTATTCACAGATAATTACAACAGATCCATTTTACTGACATTTCCACGTTCTTATCCACTTCAACACAATTTTTGATGCACATTATAAGGATACAAATACTGGTACTACTACTACCAATAGCAGTTAATACTTATTTAGAACATACTATGATCAAAGCACTATTCTAAGTACTGTCCACATTTGGCTCATTAATCAATCCTTATAAGAAGCTTCCGAGGTAGATAACTAGGACCAGGACAGTGTGATACAAATATGTGAGAGTGACCTTCTACACCCCATTCTTGAGTAGCTGGGATATAACTTGCTAGGGATTAATACATAGTAATGTTAAACAGGTAAAATAATGCAAGGATATGCGGTGGGGTTTATGAAAGATGTCCTGAGTAAACAGAATTACAGGTATGAATGCCCAGAGGCAATGCACACAGGGATATCAAACATGGGAAACCAGTTCCATTAAGGCAGTGTACAAGGTCAGGTAGATAAACAGTCTGTAAGTTCATATATTGGCCTAGCATGGTGGTATGTGCCTATAGTCTCAGCTACTTGGGAGGCGGAGGTGGGAGCATCACTTGAGCCTAGGAGTTTAAGGCTGTAGTTTCGATCATGCCACTGTAGTCCGGCCTGGGCAACAGAGAGAAAAAAAGAAAAGCTGATCAATGCTGTGGTGCTTACAACTAATGGATCACAAACCAGCTATAGATTCAGTTGTTCCTTCTCCACTCCTACTGTTTCACTTGTCTAGCCTTAAAAAAATTAAAAAAAAAAAAGAAAGAAAAAGATCCATATATTAGGCAAAGTAGTTACTGGAGTGATATAAAAAGAGACATTCTTTTTACTTTTTCTTTTTTATTTTTTTGCCATAGAGTCTCACTCTGTCACTGAAGCTGGAGTGCAGCAGCATCATCATAACTCACTGCAACCTCAAACTCCTGGACTCAAGCAATCCTCCTGCCTCAGTCTCCCGAGTAGCTGGGACCACAGGTGCACATCACAACATCACAATGCCCATCTAATTTTTGTATTTTCAGTAGAGACAGGATTTCACACCTGCTCAAGCTGGTCTTGACTGCTTGACCTCAAGTCATCCTTGGCCTCTTAGAGTGCTAGGATTATAGGTATGAGCTACTGTGCCTAGCCAAGAGAGGGAGGCATTCTTAGGAAAGGCACTTTTATAAGGGCAACTACACTTGGTTGGTTGATAAACCACTGGATGCCCGGTAACTGCTGGAGAAGCCCACCTGTCAGCAGCAGCCTGTACTGGGGGATCCGCTGGACCGGCTTGAGGAGGTAGTGCTTGAGGGCCAGGTTAGCACAGCGTGGGCTCATCTGAAAGAGAAAGGCATCCAAAGTCAACACAAGTATATAGTGAGAAGCAAGGGCGCCTGATTCAAGTCCTCAGGAGGCCAAACTTCAAACAGCCAGCAACTATGGAAGGGGATTCTTAGAGCAGCAGCTCTCTTTAAGGCCCAGCTGTTAGTTATGTAGAAAGTGAGGCCGCAACCAGATTCGTCACCAAACCCACCTCTCCTGGAGGAAGGTCTCTGAAATGACTTGATCCTAGAAAAACTTGTGTCCAGTCCTCTCACAGAGCATGGTGACCACAGACTGAGTTCAGGATAGTTAGCACCCGCCCTACCCAGCAGGTCCCACTTAGGGGAGAATCTGCGAAGTATTCGTAAACACAAATAAACCCCAATGCCCCAAATCAGGCAGCAGGAAAAAACTACCAGGGACTGAATTCAAGTAACAACCAGGGCCTTGTGGTCAATAACCTCATAATAATAATAGGGTGGTGGTGGGGACAATTGCAGAAATTAAAGATAATTGGCCGGGTGTGGTGGATCACGCCTATAATCCCAGTACTCTATATAAGGCTGAGGCAGGTGGATTGCCTGAGCTCACAAGTTTGGGACCAGCCTGAGCCAGAGCAAGACCTTGCCTCTAAAAACAGCCATGTGTGGTGGGCACCTGTAGTCCCAGCTACTTGGGAGGCTGAGGAAAGAGAATTGGTTGACCCCAGAAGTCTGAGGTTGCTATGTGCTATGACACCACGGCTCTAATACCAAGGGATGATAAGGTGAGACTCTTTTGCAGGAAAAAAAAAAAAATGAAAGAAAAAGAAATTAAAGAAAAAGGAGCCTTGCTAAATATCCCTTCTTTAACAAACCTGAAGGATGTAAAAGTCATTTTCACCTGAATGACCTTAAAAAAAGACAGCTCCCAAATCAGGAATACTTGACAGTGAAACCACATTTTGACTTGACCATAAAGACATTCAATTCTGGCTCAGCGCCTGTGACTCAAGTGGCTAAGGCATCAGCCACATATACCTAAGGTGGCGGGTTCGAATCCAACCCAGGCCTGCCAAGCAACAATAACAGCAGCAACCGAAAAAAAAAAAAAAAAGCCAGGCCTTGTGGCGGGCGCCTGTGGTCCCAGCTACTTGGGAGGCAGAGACAGGAGACTCGCTTGAGCCCAGGAGTTGGAGGTTGCTGTGAGCTGTGATGCCATAGCACTCTACCCAGGGGGACAGCTTGAGGCTTTGTCTCAAAAAAAAAAAAAAAAAAAGCCATTCAATTCTGCCTTTACAGCTCTTTTTTTTTTTCCTTTCTTCTAATCACAGTCTCACTCTATTGCCCTGGGTAGAGTGCTATGGTGTCATAGCTCACAGCAACCGCAAACTCTTGGGCTCAAGTGATCCTCTTGCCTCAGCCCCCACCCCCAACTGGAAGAGCTGGGACTATAGGTGCCCACCATAACCCCCAGCTAGTTTTCCTATTTTTAATAGAGACAGGATCTTGCTCTTGCTCAGGCTGGTCTCAAACTCCTGAGCTCAAGCAATCTACCCATCTCAGCCTCCCAGAGTGCTAGGATTACAGCTGTGAGCCGCCACTGCCCCTGTGGTTACCGCTCTTTATCTTAATATGTACAAGAGACATCTGTGCCCATTCCTAAGCCTCAGCCCAATTCTGCAACCCAAGAGTTTACCATGAGGTGACATGAAAAAGGTCAAATTGAAAAATGTCTCTGCATCCTAAGGGCGACAATGAAATGTCTTAGGCTTCTTAAGACAATTCAGGTTGGTGAGTTTTTTCGGATTTGCTCAGACTTTTTCTTTTCCTAAATATGCATCTAACAGCTGAGTGCAGTGGCTCAGGCCTGTTACCTAGTACTTTGGGAGGCTGAGGAGGGTCAATTGCTTGGGTTTAGGAATTGGAGACCAGCCTGAGCAAGGGCAAGACCCCATCTTTAAAAATAGCTGGGTGTTGTGGCTGGTGCCTGTAGTTCTAGGTACTTGGGAGGCAGAGGCAAGGAGACCACTTGAGCCCAAGAGTTTGAGGTTGCTGTGAGCTATGAAGCCAGGGCATTCTACGTGGGGCATAGAGTGAAACTCTGTCTATAAATACATATATAACTAAAAATATACTAAAAAATAAATATGCATCTCCATGGCCTAGTACACAGAGTAATTATAAAATTATAATAATATATGCTAAGAAAGTATATCTTTCCTTCAAACACCAATGATTACAACTCTCTGGGTCTGATGGCTGCCTATCTTTGTTGCCAGAGCAAAAGAGCAATTCACTCACCTCCAACCAAAACCTGGGTCAACAGTCAGTTGCCATAACTATATCATATGTTGTTTTTTGATAGAATGAAGACACCACGGGAGAGAAAAAGAAGACTACAAATGATTTGCATATTTAATCATTTATATATTGCACAAATTAGAAATCAGCAATACTGTAATACTCTAAAACTCTTCATTTCTGGTGCAGTGTGACTGGAATTCATTATCTTTTTGGTTTCAAAACAGAAAAGTAAGTCTTAAAATATAGAAACCCCAATTTTACCACATATTGGTATAAAGGAGTTAAACCTGGGCAATAGCAAAACCTTGTCTCTACAAAAGTAGATAAATTAGCTGAGTGTCCCAACATGCACAGTCAGTCCCAGCTACTCGGGAAGCTGAGGCAGGAGGATTGCGAGAGTGCAGGAGTTAGAGGTTGCGGTGAGCTACAATGATACCACTGCATTCCAGCTCAGGCCACAGAACAAGCCCCTGTCTCTCTCACACATACAAAAAGTAATTAAACTAATTTTTTTTTGAGGCAGAGTCTCAAGCTGTTGCCCTGGGTAGAATGCCATGGCATCACAGCTTACAGCAACTTCAGCTTGGTCTCAAACGATCCTCTTGCCTCAGTTTTTCTATTTTTTAGTAGAGATAGGGTCTCGCTTTTGCTCAGGCTGATCAAACTCGTGAGCTCAAGCAATCCACCTGCCTTGGTGTCCCAGAGTGCTAAGATTACAGGCATGAGCCACTGCACCTGGCCAATAAAACTAATTTTTAGGAAATGTATTATATCATTACATACCTAATCAAACTTGCAAATCAGGCTTGCACCCTCATAAGTTTTGAGTCAAGACACAAAGCTTTAGCCAGTCACAGCGGCTCACACCTGTAATTCTAGCATTGTGGGAGGCCCAGGTGAGTGGATTGCTTGAGCTCAGGAGTTCAAGACTAGCCTGAGTAAAAGCAAGACCCTGACTAGCTGGGTGTTGGGGTGGGGGGACTATAGTCCCACCTACCTGGGAGGCTGGGGAAGGATGATAGCTTGAGCTCAAGAGTTTGAGGCTGCTGTGAGTCATGACACCACTGCACTCTACCCAGGGCCACAGAGTAAGACTCTGTCTCACAAATAAAAATAAATAAATAAATAAAAAGAAAAGCAAAAAACCACAAAGCTTTGGCTGATACATGCTATAAATAGGTTATTAATTTTTCTTAGCTTTCACACTAAAGTTGTGTTATTTATTTATCTACAGGGAAACAAATTCTACTTCCCCTCCATCACTGCAGGTCATTTATTAAAATAAAAGGAAAATAAAAATAAGACACGTTTCCTAGAGTAATCAAAAGTAGAATGGCGGCTGCTAGGGGCTGGGAGGCGGGAAAAATGAAGAGTTAATGTTTAATGGCTGTCGTGCAGATTTTCAGTTTTGCAAGATGAGAAGAGCCCTGGAGATCTGGTTGCACAACAATGTCAGTGTACTTACCCCTACTGAACTGCACACTTAAGTACGGTTACAGTGGCAAGTTTACTTTATGCATACTTTGTATTTTTTTGTTGTTGTTGTTTGAGACAGAGTCTCTCTTTGTCATCCTTGGTAGAGTATCATGGCGTCATAGCTCACAGCAACCTCAAACTCTTGGGTTCTTACAATCCTCTTGCCTCAGCCTCCCAAGTAGCAAGGACTACAGGCACCTGCCACAACGCCCAGCAATTTTTTAGAGATGGGGTCTTGCTCAGGCTAGTCTCGAACCCCTGAGCTTATGAAATCCATCTGCCTCAGTCTCTCACAATGCTAAGATTATAGGTGTGAGCCACGACGCCTGGCTTTACTTCATGATTTTTTTAAAAGTCCCATCAAAATATTATTTTATGGGCAGCACCTGTGGCTCAGTGAGTAGGGCGCCGGTCCCATATACCGAGGGTGGTGGGTTCAAACCCAGCCCCAGCCAAACTGCAAAAAAAAAAAAAAAAAAGCTGGGCATTGTGGTGGGCACCTGTAGTCTCAGCTACTCGGGAGGCTGAGGCATGAGAATGGCCTAAGCCCAAGAGCTGGAGGTTGCTGTGAGCTGTAATGCCATAGCACTCTACTGAGAGTGATAAAGTGAGACTATCTCTTAAAAAAAAAAAAAAAAGAAAAAAAAATATATATATAATTTTCCCTGGCTCGGCACCTGTAGCTCAGCAGCTAGGGCACCAGCCATATACACCGAAGCTGACGGGTTTGAACCCAGCCTGGGTCAAACAACAAAGGCAACTAAACAAAAAAACATAGCCAGGCATTGTGGCGGGCGCCTATAGTCCCCGCTACTTGGGGAGGCTAAGGCTAGAGAATCACTTGAGTCCAAGAGTTTGAGGTTGCTGTGAGCTGTGACGTCACAGTACTCTCCCCAGGGTGACAGCTTGAGCTGTCTCAAAAAATACATATACATATATATACATATATATATATTATTTTCCCAAGTCAAAAAATATTCTAGTGAGGAATAATAGCTTTTCTTTTTTTTTTTTTGAGATAGAGCCTTAAGCTATCACCCTGGGTAGAGTGATGTGGCGTCACAGCTCACAGCAACCTCCAACTCCTGGGCTTAAGTGATTCTCTTGCCCCAGCCTCCCAAGTAGCTGGGACTACAGGCACCCGCCACAGTGCCCGGCTATTTCTTGGCTGTAGTTGTCATTGTTTGGCAGGCCCGGGCCAGACTTGAACCCACCAGCTCTGGTGTATGTGGCTGGCATCTTAGCCGCTTGAGCTACAGATGCCACCCAGAACAGCAGCTTTTCAAAATTAAATCTTGTACATCTACTGCTTAAGTTCTCAGCATTTAATCTGTTCAATCTCTTGTTTGATTTTGACGGGATTACATTCTAGCATCTTTTTGTTTGTAAGCTTTGTTTTCAACGACTGCAAATTATTAAAGTTTCAAAAACAGAAAAAGTCTTCAATATTGGATAGTAGCAAATACCTCAAATTCTCGAACGATGGCAGCAAAACCTGGGTTTTTCTTGCACTGTTCATCCAGCAAAGCTATGTTCTTATCAAATTCTTTGATGTAAGTAGAATACATTTTTAGGTATGGTCCCTTCTTTACAAAGATATCAGCAATTCTCTGTTGTTCAGTCCTATAGAGAGGGGACACATAAAATTATGAAAAGAGTCATTAACATATGCAAACCACACTCAATGATGAGCAGAGTGCCACATGGCAGCCCCCTTTCCTCTCTTCCTCTAAGACGTATTCCAAAATGCGTACTCTTCACCATTTCTACTGCCACCTTCAAATCTTGCCTTGACGCTGGCAGCCCTTTCACAGGCCTCCCTCTTTCTATTCTTGCCTCTCCATCCCGTTCTTTTGCACAGCCAGAGTGTAATAAGTGTACCTCCTGCCAGGCCTGGTGGCTCACACCCGTGTGATCCTAGCATTCTGGGAGGCTGGGCATGAAGTCCTTGAGTTCAGGAGTTTGAGATCAGCCTCAGCAAGGGCAAGAACCCACATCTCTACCAAAATAGAAAAATTAGTTGGGCGTTGTGGTGTATGCCTCTTAGTCCCAGCCACTTCTAAGGCTGAGGCAGAAGGTTGGCTTGAGCCTAAGAATTTGAGGTTGCTGTGGGCTAATCTGATGCCGCAGCATTCTACTTAGGTGACAGAGTAAGACTCTGTCTCAAAAAAAAAAAAAAGTATATACATTATGTTACTCCCAATGGCCCTCTATTGCACTTGCAATAAAAATAAAACTGTACCTTATATTCTTTGGACATACACAGTTCATTCCCACATTGTGAACTTTCACTAAAAACTCCACCTGCCTGGAAATAATGGAATCCAGGCCAGTTCTTCCTTTTCATTCAGATATCAGTTTAAATGCTCCTCCTTCTATGGCTGGGCAATGGCTCACGCCTGTAATCCTAGCTCTTTGGGAGGCCAAAGTGGATGGATTGCTTGAGGTCACGGGTTGGAGACCAGCCTGAGCCAGGGTGAGACCCCGCCTCTAAAAACAGCTGGGCGTTGTGGCGGGTGCCTGTAGTCCCAGCTACTTGGGAGGCTGAGGCAAGAGAATCACTTGAGGCCCAGGGTTTGAGGTTGCTGTGAGCTATGATGCCATCATACTCTACAGAGGATGACAAAGGGAGACTGTCTTAAAAAAAAAAAAAAAAGAAAAAAAATGAATAAATAAATGCTCCGCCTTCTTAGAGGGCATTCCTTAGCTGCCCAGTCTTCACTCACTGCCAAAGCGTCCTACTTTATCAATTCATGTCTACAGATCAGAAACTGCCTTTGTAATCTTCTTGTCTATTTATCTGGTCTTTCTTCCATTAAATGTCTGCTCCATAAGAGCAAAACTCTATTCTGTGCACTGTGATATCCTCTGCACACTTAAGAGCACAGACTGGCACCTAGATACATAAAATCTTGTTGAATATGAAAATGAAATATTTCATCAACTGTTAGTTCTGAAAGTCTACTAAAATCAAGTATGTCTTGACTCAAAGATCCATGAGAGAAAAATGTTTTAATAAACAGAAAATATCTCATCTAAGCATTAAAAGAATTTTACTATATTGAGTAGAAATTTTCCCGTAATTATAGTTTTAGTTGTCCTTTTCATCAATTTTGTCTCTTTCTTAGGAATAGTTAATGTTTTAACATGGAACATCTACAGATCTAAGCTTAAGGAAATTCTTAGTGCAAGCAAAAAATATATTTAATCCTCTTTATCGGGGAGGCTACCCGGGAAGGGTGAGGTCTAGGAGAACAGAGGTCTTCTCAAGGAGATACACCTGCAGGGTCCCATGGTGACTCAGCTCTTGGGAATTTGTAGACTTAACTTCTTGGAACTTGGAAATTTCCACTTCTGTGAAATTGTGTAGTTCTATGGGGGCTGGAATAGCATCTCCAGCTTGACTCAAACTGATCAATGAGAAAGGTACCTGTAGGTCGGAACTTTTTGACTGGAGATAAAAAGGGAAAGCCCAAGCCAGTTGGGGAGTGCAGCCATTTCAAATTCGTCTATGCTATAAGCTCCACTGGCTGAAACAAAGCTTTTCTTCTTAAAAACCTGGTGTTTGGGGTGCTCTTTCTCTCTGCTGGGTCTCGTCTTCCTGCAACACTTATAACACTTGCTTGACTAAATATACACTGGGTTCAGTGGAAGAGTCACGAGTACATGGAACCGTGATACTCCTTAGTCTCTCAATGGAATCAGAGTCAAGTTTCTATTTTCAAATCTGGTTCCAGAGACAGCAGAGAGCTACTCCTGCTCCTGGGGAGTGCATTCCTCTTGCAGGCTTGGCTCCTGAAGCACTTTGGGGCCAAGATGTGTTTTAAATTCATTCTTATTCTCAGGATCCTCATCTGTATGGATTTCCTTCTGGGGCCATAACCCATTCCATAAACAAATTTTATGGCCCTGTTTTTTTGTTTTTTTTTAATATATATAACCCTTTCTCTTATTTTTTATTTTTATTTTCTGTCTCCCTGAGCAGGAGTGCAGTGGCATCACTGTAGCTCACTGCAACCTCAAACTTCAGGGCTCAAATGACCCTATTGCCTCAGTGTCTGGAGTAGCTGGGACTACAGGTACATACCACCATGACATGATAATTTTTCTATTTATTTATTTATTTTTTTGTGAGATGGAGTCTTACTCTTTTGCCCTGGGTAGAGAGCTGTGGCATCTAACAGCAACCTCAAACTCTTTGGCACAAGAGATCCTCTTGCCCTAGACTCCCAAATGGCTGGGTTTACAGGTGCCTGCCACAATGCTTGGCTATTTTTTATAAATGGGGTCTCACTCTTGCTCAGACTGGTCTCTAACTCTTGAACTCAAACAATCCACCCACCTTGGCCTCCTAAAGTGTTAGGATTACAAACATGAACCACCGTACCCAGCTAATTTTTCTATTTTTTTGTCAAAAAATTTGCTGTAGCTCAGGCACTGGTTTTAACTCTTGGGCTCAAGCAACCCTCCCACCTGGCCTCCTAGAGTGCTAAGATTACAGGCTTTAGTCACCTTGCTGGGCTGTAATCTTCGCTCTTAACTACTTGACCTTTTGAGTTGGTTCCCAGAAATGATGGATGACTTTCTGATTGATGCCAGGGCTCAGCATTCCCCTCAACCTGCCTCAAGGCATGTGCCACCTTTAAAAAAAAGCCCATGGGTGGCTCCCATAGTTCAGTGGTAGGGTGCTGACCACATACACTGAGGCTGACAGGTTCAAACCCAGCTCTGGCCAGCTAAAACGACGACAACTGCAATAACAACAAAAAATATCTGGGTGTTGTGGCGAGCACCTGTAGTCCCAGCTACTCAGGAGGCTGAAACGAGAGGATCTCTTGAGCCCAAGAGTTTGAGGTTGGAATGAGCTATAACACCACGACACTCTACCAAGAGTAACAAAGTGAGACTCTGTCTCCAAAAAAAAAAAAAGCCCTTGAACCCCATTTGTCAGAGAGGTGGATCTGAGGCAGCTTCTACAACATTGTCCTATTACAAACTCCTTTCTTCCTTGGCAATCTTGGTTATCTTAATAGTTGGAAATTTGTGCCATGAGCAAATGGCCTTGTAGTCTCCACAACAGGTCTTTTCCTTAAGTGCTGAAAATCACAGCTCAGACCTTCTCCCTTTTTTTTTCTTTTTTAGAGACAGAGTTTTACTTTGTTGCCCTCAGTAGAGTACTGTGCTGTCATAGCTCACAGCAACCTCCAGCTCTTGGGCTTAGGCGATTCTCTTGCCTCAGCCTCCCAAGCAGCTGGGACTACAGGCGCCCACCACAAAGCCTGGC